CATTTAATGCTTTAAAAGCACTTATGAGGGGTTTGGAGGAGAAGGGACAGGGACGGGGAGGAAGAGAGGGAGGGAGGGAGGTTAGGAAGAAATATGTAAGATATTTTCAGGAAATGCTCCCCAGTAGGGAGAGGTGAAGGGAAACCGGTGGGGGGTTGCGGGGAGGAAGGCAGGAAGGAAACAATTCTGTACTGTGATAACATTATACTTAGGAAGCATGCTTTCACTCCTCCAAAGAGGAAGGCATATAAGCCTCATTTTGCAGCTGAAGAAACCAAGATTCGCTACAAGAAAGAACTAAGTCAGGCTAAACCCTTTATATTTTTCTATCTCTAGATTGGGTGTTTTTGTTTTTTTTTAATCAAGAAACTCTAAGGTGGCATTAGTTTCCCACAAATATTTAATGCCATATTAGGTTCTCAAAAGTCACTGGAGAATTTCTGTTTCACACAATAATATGCACACATCAGCTGATTCTCAAAGCAGACAAAGCCTCAAATGCCACTTAGGTTGTAATGAACCTATCTTTAAAGCTAAAAAAACTGGAACACATTTCTAACAATTTCACACTACTTCTACTTAAGAGAGACATTCTTAGAAATGCAGTTTGAGTGCAGAAATGTTGGAATTCTCAGAAAACATCAACAAGGGATGACATTTTGGGGAACTGAAGTGGCCTCAGAAATACCCAAGATGGTGCAGTTCTCTGCCCATCTGTGCCTATACAGGTGCTTCTTTCCACTAGCTCTCTCCCTTCACAGGGCAGCAGCCTCCTGCCTGCTTCTTTCCACTAGCTCTCTCCCTTCACAGGGCAGCAGCCTCCTGGGGCTTCTCTTCACTGCCCTCAGCAATGGCTGCTCTCCTCAAGGCCTCCTGCGACCGCGACCGTGACCATGCAGGCCGCTCAGCAAACTTTTGAGGCAGCCTTTCTGCCTGCCTGTGTCTATGCAAGTGTCCTTTATTCTTCTGTTCCCTTTCCCTAGTAAACCTGCTCTTTTAAATATTTTTATAAAAACAAACCAAGGTGAATAGGGTCCTGCTTGTATTAAGATGAATCACATTCGCAAAGCATAATCGAGTGGGTATCGTGCTTTCCTAAAGTACTTTATGCTTACAAATCTTTGAAGCAATTCAAGTTTTTGATTGGTATGGTTGTTTGGCTAAACATAAGCTAAACACATGATTATAGTAATTACAACATTTAGGTTCACTCGCCTGGTGTACAAGGAGGTGAAGGGTTATTACAGAGTGTCCAGTAGCTGCTCTGTCTCCCTTGAGGTCAAAGCAATGGAAATAGAGCACCAGCAAATTGACATGGAGATAGAATTGGCATAGATGGGATGGGATGGCATGAAGAACTGGGAAAACAGGACAGGTTACCAGTGGAAACCAGTTCAGTCCTGTCTGTTTAAGAATAAGGGGTGGGGGGCTCTCCTGAGATTGGGATCCTCTAGGGTTTGGAAACATCTCCTGACGTCAGGACCCTAATCAATCGCAAGGGATTGACCTAGCATGAGTCTCTACTGGAGGTAGATGCAGACTCTACCTTCCAGAAATTTTTAACTTATTTTATAGGAAACCAAAAAAATGATCCTTTGAATTGATTGAGTAAAGGTTTTGTAGGACCTTTGATGACTTAATGTTTGTAAATGCATTTGGGATACACAGAGAGGAGGGAAAGGCATTACAGGTAATGGATATAAAGCATCCAAATGTCTCTTAAGGGCTATTCTGACCCTAAAGGATAACTCAAAATTTTATCTTCATCTAAACTACATAATAACTGGGGGTGGAGGATGGGGCAGAAAGAGCTGGCCTATTGGAAGGAGATTTGTGTACTTAGGAATGAGGTCTTCCAACATCACTCCCTATCACTCCAGCTTAAGGAAAGTAGGTAACCTAATTGAGAGGTTTTGGTTTAATATCTTGACCGGAAAGAAAATTCATTAATTAAATATACTCTAATTACTTCACACAACGAATATTTATTGAACACATAATAATGTCAGGCACTAATCTAGTCAAACTTATGGGGCAAGGAAGATGCTTCCTCATAGCACTCAGGAAAAAGATGTAAGAAACCGGTTTTTACACACACAAGTGATAATGAGCTTCCTTTTTATGAGCACACATTTCTATGATCGTTTGTCTATAGTCCTAAAATAGAAAAGTGATGGAAGGACATTCACAGAACACTAGGCATTCATTTCGCAAAGCTCAGGTGGGAAAAGTGTAAAGGAGTATTGCTAATACTTGTCTAAAGATGACTCACATACATGCATAGAGTGGGACTAGTTCTGTTTTTAATGAGAATGTTTGAGTATAGGAAGATCAACAACTCCCCCGCAATTGAGTGAAAAAGTGAAAAAGTATCAAGATGAGTATCAAGAAATTTGGAGGTGGTTGGATTCCTCTATGCCCTGCTCCTTTTTTCTTAGGACAGTTAACAATTTGAGGCTACCGAGCCTCAACAGATGTATGCATCTGTTTCTGATTTACTTTCTTGGTCTTGTACTAGTTGGAGTCATATCTAGATCATGTGTTAGTCTTAGAAGTCACAGAAGGAATTTACACCCAGGGTGAATGTATAATTAAATGCACACAGACACGTCAACACAATGTAGTTAAGAAACATGCAAAAATTCTGATTAGAAAAACCGTCAGCTATTTCCTTCATTTTCTCATTTGTGCTACCCAGGCCCTCGTTGTCACGGTTAATGTTTCTGCTCTGATTTCAGGATGTGGGAACCTATCCTTTGATTCATCTTTTTGTTTCCCAACTAGATAGCATGATTTTTGACTTCTCCTAAATGTAGTACTAAAGGCATATCCTTTAGTAATCTGATGGATTCTTCATCAGAATACATTCTGTAGTGTCTCACAGGGTCTTAGATAGAACCAGTTTGCAAGCTAGGAATGTATGTGTTTAATTTTAAATGGCATTCTGAATACAGGGCATGCTTACTTTGCAATTCTACATCATTTACATCTTTTTCTAGTCATCTTTCTTGCCTTATAAAAGCCATGAATATTCCAATTTGTTTATCCTTTTGAATTCTTTAGTATGGAGTCTTAAATTTGATTTCTTTAAAGCACTCAGAACAAAGGCTAAGGACAATTTTCCTTTAAATCACTTTCTTCTATTGAGAAAAAAATTAGATCAGATAGATTAAGCTGAAAACTATTTTGCAAATGCTTTCCTTTTCATTTTTATAATTTTTCGCATTCAATTTACAGTGGCTTTCTTAAGATTCATGCCTTCTTAGATATTTAAAATGTCATTATGTACAAAATTCTTGCTTCAGCACTGACCTTTGTGGTTACTTTGTTGGAAATCTTGCTGTAATTTGACAGAGCATTAACTAATTCTGATTACTTATCTAGTACATGGGTGATAATACCCACCTTTCAAGACAGACAGTTCAAACACAATGACAAAATTACCACACATCAGTTCTAAAACCACAGGAAAAAAATCTGAACTGAGTTGACATTTTTGCCTTGTGTTAGATAGTGCTCTTTAAAGACCACAGACAGCACACACAAACGCAGGCGGAAACACTACATCTGCAGACATTGGCAGGCAGCATTACCCGCCAAATTTGGCCACGGTTTAAGATAAATAACTTTTTGGTGATGCACAGTACTGAAATTACACAAACAGTAGAAATTACTAAGACCTAAGCCTAAGTGTTTTGTGGGTTTCAAGATTTTATGCAATCAATACACTATTATCTGTAACACCATTTTGCTACTAAAATGTTGATGCCAGAAACATGAGATTAACATCACTTATGACTTTTGTTCAAATTTTAAAATAAACCAACTTTAATCATTCTTGAGCCACGTTTTTATTTAGGTCATCAAGACAACCATAATCATGTCCTTATAAGGAGAAGTTTCATTAAAAATGCTAGGGAACTGCACTCTTTTTCAGAAGCCCAAACTTGTAGCTTGTTGTACTAATAGTTTCAAATGTCTACTTCATTAAAAGAGAAAATGTCCTTAATAGTTTCATCTCAAGAGCCTCAGTGACAATTTTAAAAAGCTGACAATGAAAGAGTTAAATATTATGGGAAGTTCCATAGTAATAGTAAATTCCTCCCTAGAAATTACTTATTTTTCCAAATTAAAAACTTTTATCTTCCTGGTGGCACAATGGGTCAAAGCACAGCACTATGAAGCTATCCACCAGTGCAACATGAGTTTGAACCCCAGCCAGGGAGGTGACCCACATGGCGTGGCAGACCTCTCCTGACCTGCCTGCTGCTCCCCTCAGCAGTGTACTTAAGTCAATCTGCCTATTCTGCTCCCTGATGTCACTGGTGATCCTCTCACCTCCACACCTCTGGACTGTACCCCAGTTCTTGTATGCATACATAAATAAATCTTTAAAAGAAAAAAAAATCTTTTAGGGAGCTGACATAAGTGGTATTCATAAAGCTGAAAAATCTGAGTATGTGTATGGAAGTTCCTTGATAATTCTTACTTGCAAAAATTGAGGCACCATTCTCTAGTGGGATTGAAATTTCCTGAGAGCTAAACTGCAACATTAGGTACCTTTTAAAAGACTAACTCCTTCTACCTTTCCTTGCCTATCAACCAAGTATTCTAAATAACAATAATAGAAAATTGAAAAAAGTCCTGAATATTAAATATTCTGCTCTTTTGGTAATCTGTTTTTTTCCTACCAATTCTCTGAGAATGTTAATTCGTGAGTCATGCTGGAAAATTATTTTTGGCTGAGTAAAAATTTCATATGGTTTGCTTATAAATACCCTATAAATGTAATCAATGTAGCACCTTCTCTATGGACAAACCTATTTGTCTTTCATATACTGCTTGAGAGAGGTCAATTATTTGTTAATTCACTACCTACTGTGTGTTGAAGAGACAGCATACATTTCAATCTCAGAAGGAAAACATTCCCAGTGGTTAATTTTTGAGTTATCATTTTACAAGTGAATCGTGTGACATAAAAAAAAACATAAAAGGATAACTTTATTAAACATACAAATTCAAGAACATTTAAGCTTTTAAAAAATCATAGTATGGGAAAACAGATTGAAGGTAATAGTGTATATACACACACATATAATATTTAGCACTAGAGTAGGTAAACAGACTTCATGTTCAAAATGACAAAATGAACATCCTATCTCTAAGCTGTTTCTATACACTATGACTACAAAGTAAGAAGCTCAGCAGTCATTCCTCACCCCAGATTGACTTATCACAAGAAGTTTGATAGCTGTCATTGATACAGATCATTCTTGCATACAGTAATATATAAACTTTTATCTTAGGTCCTTTTCTACTTTGCTTCCTTCATTATCTCTTTCCAATCCAGTCTCGCTGAATTATTAGTGTCCAATCATCATCCTTCCTTGAGTATAGGCAACTTGGTCAAACAGGTTATAAAGCTCTAGACGGCTTCAAATAAAGGAAAAATGTGCAATCATTTCAATTTTGCTTGCCCATTTCCTTTTAGCAGTTACTTAACTTGCCTTAAAATGGTATGAAACTGCATACAGGTGAAACAGAAATGCATTCTGAACTATTAACCTCACCTTGGTCCTCAAGTGTCCCTTTTTAACCAGTGTAGCATCATTTTAAGTTTCCAACTATAAACATAAACACTTAACAAAACACTAGAAGTATTTTGGAAAGCACCATATTACTTCCTACAAGATTGTATTGTGTGGGAGTGAAGGCAGAAAAGTGACAGAAATCATTAAGAAAACATGGCAATTCACACAAAAATGCTTTAAAAAGTACTCTAAAAAAGGATATATTTAATTTATGTGGCATTCCCCCTACCACCAGGCATGACAAACACATATCCTCAGTATTTGTTTAGTGTTCCCAAAAGGTGTAATATATACACCTCCAGGGGAGGAAATTATTTTCTTTACTTACAGAATGGATAGAATACCAGAACCATGCTAGGTTTTTTAAAAGGACACAGCTCACAACTTGAAGAAACCAATAAACTAAGTCTTCTGACCTAGTTTGGATACCGCACAGTATATTTTAATCCCTAAAACATCCATTAATTTACAGACTTGCACATAGAATCCCTATGTATTAGGGCAACACTGCTCCTTTATCTGCATAGAGCAGTGACAAGTAATTAGGAAAAGTAAAAATCTGAATATGCTAGATAAGCTTTAACTGAAAGGTCCTGTCTTTAGTCCAAAGAATGACCCCAGGCATGGTAATCAATCTTAATCTGTAGTTCAGAATCTGCCTCAAGAGCAAATACTACAATTTAAAAATAAATTATTCACTTTGTCCTGGTCTCTAATCAATAACTTATGAGTATTACACAAAGAACTCTTTTTCAACCTGCCTCACAATATACAAATGAAGAATTGATAATCACAAGTTCATATCTTTAAAAAAGGGATGCAGTAAAGCTTCCGCTGCTGTTATTCTTGAAGCTGGATTGAGATCTAGAAGTTTGTCAAGCAGGTCATAAGCTTCATCAGGCACCTCATCCCAGCCTTCTAAGTTGGTAGCACACGCATCAGAACGACCCCCAGAGTCACTGCTGTCCCCTCTGTACAATGAATTCCCTGAGTGTTGTGCCTGAAGTGTTTGGTTGGGGTCATTCTGGTCAGTCTTCCCTAAAAAAGCTGGGTCATGAGAAGCAGGCTTTTGCATTTTGCTGGCTAATTTGGAAGTGTTAAAATCTATACCCCTGAGCTTCTCACAGAGTTTTCTCAAGTCTTGCGCTGGGACTTCTTTGCTACACAATATTGATTTGCCTAAAGAGAAAAAAACAACATTTTGTATTATTTGAATCTATCAAAAAACTCTTTGTGAAAAACTTGCAAGTCAAGTTGTCCTTTGCAGATATATTTATGCTGAGTATAAACAGGAGCGCCACATACTGTTTTGTATTACACTGAAGGCCTAATCATACAATGAGGGGAGCAAAAAACAGTGACTTATTAAGGTATGTCAGGGACTTGTTCAGCTGCCTTTATATTCAGCGCAAAGTTATAGCAAGCTTTGACTGAAATACCCACAGAAGTCATACTAAAAAATGTGCAACAGGTGCTGCAAAGAATTATTTTTTAACTATGAGAACGACCATTTCAATAATAAATCTCTAAAGGTCTTTGCTGGCTTGACACTTGCAAGGAGTGTTTTTGTTAGATGTACTTCCACTGTTGGTTGTCATTATAACTTTGACTACAGCTGTAAACTCTTCAACAAAATGTCTTAAGTGCTGTCTGATACACATTATATCCATAAACTTCTCATGAAGTTATTCAATAGCAGAGGTTAAGTTTTCTCAACCAGTAGAGAATAAGTATATAACTTTTGCTTGCTTTCTTTTTTTTTTGTTAAAGATTTATTTACTTATACATACAGAACTGGGGTGGTGTACAGGCCACAGGTGGAGGGGCAGTGAGATGATTCACCAGAGACAGAGTGGGGAGCAGCGGATGAGACAGGAGAGGTCTGCCATGCCATATGGGTCAGCTTGCTGGCCGGGGATCAAATTCATGCTGAAGCGGCTACAGACACCTTTGCAGCACTGGGTCTTAACCTGTTGCACCACCAGGGAGGGTCCACTTTTGCTTTTGACTCCTGGTTACTTTGCCCTTGTATATACCTATTATTCTACCCTATTACCCTCAGCTAAAATTCTCTTATACTAGGTACAAGATATCAGTTGTGGACTGGCTTTGCTGTACAAACATTTTCTGGTTAGCCTCCATTAGGAAGCTTTCCTCACAGCCACTACTCAGTTCTCCATTTTTCTGGTGGATGAAACTATGGCACTGGTACCTAAATACAAGACAATCATTTTCATTGTGGTTCTTAGCTAGACACAGTTCTTAGTTATTATCAGCTATTTTTCAACCTAGTAAGTGTGGACTCTTTCTACATATCCTGTTTTTCTGAATTTTATTACCCTAGAACTGCTGGGGTGAGACAACAGTCAGATAATTATATTATAGCACTGATCCAGGGGCAGGCATAAAGCAGCCCACCTACTCTCGTGACAGCCTGACTGAAACTTTGTCCCAAAGTGTTACTCCCATGGTATGATGGCACACTGACTCAATCACACCATTCTTTAACTACAGTTGGGCATGAAGAATAAATACAAAGTGGACATTTAAGTTGCTGACCAGAGCAAGGATGAAATAATTTTTGGATGGCCTATAAAGTACGCCAATCTTGAAGTACAAGAACTTGCATAGCTAAGGAGATGACTTCCCAATTCTAATACATGTTTACAATAATAATCAGTGCAGGTGTTCAGTTCATCTCTCTTCTAAGAGATGAACACAGAAATGTTCTAAGGAACACAGAAATACACATTCTATCATTTCCCTACAACAGTATTTATGCTGTATATTTGTACAGACTAAGATAAATTAAGACAGGCCTAAACTACAAACTGATGCTTAACTAATAAATACACAATAAACAAACTAAGACATTACTAAAGATATATGTATGATAAAGTCAAATACTACTACAGGGAGTTAAGATTTTATTCCTTATTCTGTTAAACTTACAAAACTGAGCTTAAAGAGTGATAAGATTAAATGATTACTGAACAGAACTGATGACAGACTATTTTTTTGTTTACAATGTTATTTTTGAGTGATTGAGAAATTCTCTACCTAAGATTAGAGAACTTTATGAACACAGAATGTTTCTTTGAAGACAGTTTTGTAATACTGATTATTAAATGATTTGCAGGAAGACAGTCAAAGGCATATTTGTTTTGTTCCATATCATAAAAAACTACTTACCAAAAGTTTTAGCAGCCTGGATCGTTTCCTTGGATCCACGGATTGTCATAATTTGAGCCAAAGCAGTCAAATCATCACTTGCTTTATAAAATGGATATCGTCCACTGAGCAAAGAAAGGAATATGACACCTGCAGACCACATGTCAATTGCTGAAACAGAAAACAAGCTTTAACAGGACTCCCATTCCGTCATCTGCATCGGTAATCCTTACTTCACTGTGCATCCAAGTCATCTGTGTATCTGTGAGCCTTAGAGGAAATTCTGATGCATAGGCCCAATGCCTCAGAGATTCTGATTTACTTCTTCTGGAGTAGGGTTCAGAGGCATCAGTATCTTTTTTTAAAGTTCCTCGGGGGCTTTAAATACAATTCCAGGATTGAGAATCCTTGGTCTAACATCCTTAATACAAAACACACTATTTGCTTTCTTGAGCAACATGTTGATAAGTTTAAGAGGTTATTTCATTATTGCAAAACACTAAGTAAATGCGTATTTTATAAAATCAAAAGAAACTGAAAAATAGCAACACTAGAAAAAATCTGCATGCTTTCCAAGAACTATACATCTTAGTTGAAGGTTTTCATTTTAGTGTAAAGTCATCAAAAACCCTTCCTTAGCAAGGTACTAACCCTTACTTTTTCTATAGAAAAATTAATCTCCAGAATTTTGGCAGTTAAGACCAAGTAACTTGCATGCTAAGAAATTCATGAAGACAAAACAAAAATACCCTGACAATAGAAAGATGGTAGCCAGGGGGGACCCACAGATAGGAATGGGTAGAGAAGGAAGCCCCAACATTTACAGGTGGGTGTGATAAGATATATGCAGTTGCTGAGGTGGGAAAATGTACTCCTACAACTTGTGCAGTGTTGTGATCTAATGGTCCCTCAAAAAAAAAAACAAAACAAAACAAAACAAAACAAAAAACTCCAAAGAACAAAAACCAATGTTCCCCACCCCACACCCTCAAAAAATAAAAATAAGAAACCACTTTTTTTGTTTCTAGGACCATCTTTTCTCCTCATTCCTTGTCTCCCACTATCAAGAAGTTGTCTCTTGGCAACTGCATCATTTTATTTCTTGGCTGCTTCTTCATTCCTATTACGAATGCCCTCATTCAAGTTTTTATCATCTCTCACTGTACCCCTTCAGGATACCACTCTCCAAATTCTATCTTTCTTGTACACCATACATATCTTTCCCCTTAAGTAACTCCAACATCTATAGGATAAAATCCAAATTGTTTCTCAAGTGTGATCTGACCATACCCACTTTCTAGGTTTATTTCTCAACTTCCATCTTAAATTATGGCAATACTAAGCTTTTTATAGCTTCCTGTATGCTATTTCATGAGTTCCTTTACTCCTGCCTCAAAGAAAATCCCAACCCCAATTTACACTGTTTTCAGAGGTTATATTTAAGACATAATTCTAAAACACAGGCTTAATTAAGACTAACAAACAATTCATGTGCAAGCATGATAAAAATGAGTTATATTTAAAGATATCAAAAGGTTTCTGCTTCCTACTAGAACCATCATTTTGTGCACTTTTGTTTTCTTGTCCTCATCTCCTTCATGTACCTTACTCCAAGTTACTCTAAAGGGACGCTTATCCCTTTAGGTAAGAGTCATTAGAAATCCTTAAAATACTTTGTACATAGTTTTATCACCAAACTCAACAGGATATTTTATAATTATTTGAGCATGCGTCTAACTGTAATGTAAACAGTTCCATTCATCTTTTGTATTTCAGCAAACACAGAATAGACACTTGATGAATGAATACATTTTTTTAAAGTTCATGATTCAAGTGAATAGCAACATTCATCTATTCAGTAAAATGCTTCTTGGACTCTGGGTTGATGACAACTTTTTTAGATTAGAGACTTTTCTTTCTCAAAAATATATGCCATTGTATTGTTTTCAATTTAAACACAATTATATATATGCCTCACAGAAGAATTCTGAGGTACTAGGAAAACATAAAATGTTGCCAGTCTTAAGTTAGCAAAAAATACTAAATACAATTTTCCCAACAAAGAAAACTTTAATAAAGTTTTCAGTTAATAAAATTTTCAGTAAAATCATCTAGTAAACAAATAAGCAAAATGTAATCAACAGAAAAAAATATGGGAGGAAAACAGCTACATTAGGATTAGATTCTTTCAAAAACAGCATTCTCTCAAAAATAGGACTGTCACACTGCTAGAAATAATTAAAAGCAGTAGAGGTCAAATTGGCTATAAATGGATAAAGACCATAAAATAAACTACACCAGGGTAATTAACTTTATTTGGGTCTGTATTTCTAGTGCAAATTACCTGTAGTTTGGTTGGGGCACTTTGTCAAGACCTCAGGTGCTCTGAATCCTGGTGTCCCGGCCCGAGGAGCAACCTGTTGTCGTCTTATGATGATAAAATAAGATTTTTCTAGTTATATTAAAGCTCAACTATTTAAGAACAAAAAACACTTATCAATTTAAGTCAGAGTAAAACCTAAATAGGTTTTTACAAAGCAAATGTTAATTCAGAATAATGTAATTTCCCCCCACCACTGGCTCATAGTTCTGGGTATAAAGAGATAGTAGATGGCAGGAGCCATAATAGAAAAACGGAATTATCACACCAATTCAGAGATATAAAAATCATTTCTGTTTTAAGTGATTAATTACTGACATAGTCACTTTTGTAATTGAGTCAATCAGAGAAAACTCAAAGTCAACTCTTGAAAGGGTAGGAGGAATTTTCATGGTGAAATGTTAGAGGTGGGAGTGAGAGATGACACCTATTTTTTGGTTCTGGTTATTCTACATCAGCAGGAATAAAGAAAAATTTATTTGCAAGCAAAATATTCAATTCTAAGGTTCAAAAAAAGCTACCCCCAATCAAAATTATTTGCATATAAAGGCACATGAATTTTTCAAAAATATATACACGTCAAATAAACAACACATGACAATATCCTTTGCACTTCGAGGTATTTTGCTCCGCACTGGTGCATGTAGTTCCAGAATTGTGCTATTTCCTCTCACACAGCTCTGTCAGCTGTCCACCAAAACTAATGCAATTTCTAATAATGCCTAACAGCATGCTGATGCTGATGATTTTATAAGCCATCAAAACACATTACCTTGACAGGCAAATACTGCAAACTTTATCTGTTGCATAACAGTCACAAGTCAGGTTAGATGGGCAAGAACTGGAAGTTTTCCTCACTGTACCACTATTCACAGTTTTTGTAGAAACAGCTTTCTTTTTTGTAGCTAACTTTCTAGATAGTACATCCACAGTCTTTGACTGCTTCATAAGCTGTAAAAGAAAATTGCATTTTCTATTTCCATAACACTTAACTTGGGGCCTTCAAATCCTAGTATGGAACACACAATAGAAACATAAATTTTAAAATCACTGAATGTGTTATCAGATTGTAAACTACTAAAATATTTAAGTCTTTTTGGTTTTTCTGCTTGAACAAACATATTAAGATCTACTAATATGTCCTAGTTTGGCAAATATTTGACTTATACTTTATTGGAACTTTTCCTGATACATTACAAGAGTATAAAATAGTGATGACCTAGTGTCTAACTCCATTTCAGAACTGTAAACTGCACAATTATACTGGCTAAAATCAGTTTCAATTTGTTGTTCATGCTATCTAGCTATTACAGGATATCATAAATCACTTTAAAAACAATTTTACATCAAAGGCTATTTTGTATACTCTACATATATCTTTACACTATTTACTGTGTGTCAGAAATGCATTTCTTGCTGGGAGAGAAAGGTCTGAATAGTCTAAATGTTCCTCTAGAGAAAGAACAACAACAGTCAGATAACTAAAGACAATCAAAAATTCTACCTGAAAGGTTCAGGAAAAAAACCTGGAAAATATAAGAGCACTAACTTAGATGCTCAAAACAGTAATACCTCTGCAGAAGCAAAACTCAACTTATAAAAACCAACTGATAACAAGTGCTAATCTAGTTATTCCCTAAATTCTATGGACTGAACAACTGACTAATGATTGCACTATTAAGCTACTTTACTTACTTTCACTGCAGGGCTCTCATGTGAAATGGAGCTGTGTATATTGAAATTTCTTTCTCCAAAAACAGAGCGCTGGACGGAAAGGCCTACAGACCCCTCCTACAATACCAACAAAAACAAGGAAAACAAGGATTATATCTGTAACACTTTCTGCCAGCTGTACTCTGCCATAGTTTAGAAAGAGTTAAGTGACATGAAACAAAAACAGCTGCATCCAAGTCATTCTTAGGCACCAAAACACTTCTGTGAAAGAAAAAAATAGTCTAGACAGAACTCTAAACACCCATACAATGTTATCATAATCCACAATATATAACTAAAAAATTTCAAATATATAATTTCTATATATAACTAAAAAATTTCAAAAATCACCTGCACGGATGTTACATTTACTGTGCAGCTAAAATGGAGATAGACACTTCAGAATTTTCCCCCTACAACTAGTGCATTTTTTAAAAAAGGGGTAATTAATCTGAACTTATTAACATGCAGGGAAATTTGTTGGTTTTCATTTTTTGTTGTATAATGCAACTGTAATGGCAAGGACATTATAAAACTACTGAGTAAACTTTAGTTTTGAAACAGTTAAACCATCCATTACAAATCTTAGTGGAAAATCTTGTTGACTGAACACATAATGAATACTAAATAATTTTTAACTGTAAGTATATCCCAGTATCATAGCTCCCTCTGTTGGTGAAAGAGTGTATTTCTAAAACCATGTTAGTGCTTAAGAAATAAGAGAGAACCTTTCCATCTTTTCCTTGTTTACTCTGAATTTGTGCATTTGTATAGGGCCTCTTAACAGAAGTTTTTGAGGCAGGTTGCTGATCCAACTCTTTAGGTGCTCCTGAGCCACTCAGTGACATCTTGTTTCCTGTGATTACGCGGGATTTATTTTGTGAACAACTTTCCCGCTGAGTTTCGGACTGGACAAATTTGAGCAGCTCTATTTTCGTATCATGGGTTCCTTGGGCCAAACCAAAGTCTACTAAAGCATACCTAAGAGACAAAAGTAAGCATTTTCACTTCTCTGGAACAATTACAGCTTAGTAACATTGTAATATGCTCAAAATGTATTTATTCACAAACCACAATTCTTTTAGAAATCAGTTAAGAATTTATTTATATATATATATATTATTCCTCAATTAAAAACATTCTTGAGAAAAGAAAAATAGAATTTACAGATAAAATAAGGATTTGATAGCAAACTAGGACTAAAAATTAAGAAGATTTATCTATCCCTCACACAAAAATCTTTTCCCCCCTTTCCAATGGCCTTTGCTGACAAGGCAGACAAGGAATGCAGAAATATAAGCACAATTCTTTGTTCTCTGTTGTTGGCAGAGAGGGCATCACAGTAAATCATTTTTAATTAAACATTAAGTTTAAGAGAAAAATAAACTATAATCATGATCTAATGAAAAAGAAAGGTTAAATATAAAAGTGCAAGAAAAGGGCCCTCCCTGGTGGCACAGCGGGTTAAGCACAGCACTAAAAGTGCAAGAAAAAACTATTGTTCTGACCATATTCAGTATGACAGATTCATTGTATAATATGCATTGTATAAATGCATATTTTCTGTTTATGCCTCTATGTATATATTCAGCATAAAAAATATACATACAAGCAGAATTTCAGTATTGAAACAGGAAACTTACTATAAGGTAGTCTAATCCCCTCATTTACTAGGAAAAAAAATAGATCCCAGAGTTAAGAGAAATATGCTAAGGTCAAAAAGGACTAGATCTTTTTTAAGTTCTTTCAGCTAAGTGCTATTCTACTGGTCCATGGAACATCTAGTGATATACATAGCCTTACTGCTATAATTTTACCTTCTCCTTCACTGTATTTCCCTCTCTGATCAAATGAAAATTTGTAACAGAAAAAAATCTGTGTATGGCTACAGGAAAATGTCTGATGGACCCACAACATGTTAGTCAAGTATAAATATTTCCTAGTAACTTAACATACTCACTTTTTTTGGCGTCTATTAAATAAAAAATTGCTGGGTTTCACATCCCGGTGTACAATACCAAACTGATGAATGCGTTTCAAAGCTTTGAACAGATTAAACATATATTCCCGTACTTCTTGAAATGAAAGCAAATTCAAAATATCCTAAAATAAAGTTGTGAATAAGGTCATGAAATTGTTTTCAATGAAATAGTTAGCTAATAAAAAAACTTAAGAAATATTAAAACCTACCAAAAAGGATTCATGCTCCAGATATGGCATTGCAATAACCACATGATCGTTTTTCCTAAAACAGTATTTAACTCCCATAACATTATCTTGCCCCCTAGTGGAAAAATGTACAATATTAGAGGAAAGGTCAAATGAACTAAAACTTTATGCTTAGTTTTTCCTAAAACTGCAAACTAGCAATGTATAAATAATGCTAGAAAATTTACTTAAAATCACCATCATATAGGATAGTGTGCACATTTAAGTGACTTGACAAAATAAAGATTTTCTAATAGCCCCTATTATGAGCATACTACAATAATTAGTCTTATTTATATAATATTATAATATATAAAATACTATATATAATAACACATCATAAAATACATTACTATAATTGATATCAATTACATAATACCATATATTAATGTATATACTATATATACTATATTATATAATAATAAGAGCTTACTAAAAATACAGCTCCTGTTATGAGGTTAATATAATAATTCACACATAAGATAATCATACTTTTGATTGGGGTAATGACAGAATGAGAATAATGAGTTAATGAGACTTACTATCAGATAATACTTTAATAAGAAAACAGTAATAGCTAACACTGAGCATTCACTATATGCTATGCTCTGATTTAAGTAATTCACATCTATTAACAAATTCACTTCATCTTCACCACAACCTTATGAGGGCTGTTTCTATTTACTGATAAGGAAATAAAAGAGAGGTTAAGGAACTTCCCCTCAAGGTCACTAGCCTAGTAAGTCATGAGCCAGGACTTGAATCCACGCTATACTGATTTGTAAAAGATGATGAAAACAGGACTCCCATAGTTTTAAGCATGAGTAAAAACAACATGGATACCAACAAACTATGTAGAAAAATCAGGAAAGGTAGCATCAAAACCAAGAATTCATCATTTTGATAAGGATATCTGGATATAGGAGCAAATCTTATGAAAGAAAAGAGAAGTCCATGATAATGCTTGCTGAGAAGTGATTAGCTAAAGTTGTGAAAATAATTAAAGAGTACTGGACCTTGAAAAAGTCTCACGGTTCAATTGGTGGGCAAAAAAAGAAGCTACAGAATGCCAGGAAAGGATGTCATTGAAGTGAGGAGCTTTAAAGGAGGAGTTGGTTAGCATGGAGGTCAGCGAGAATAAGGACTGCGGGGAGGCTTTTAGCTTGGCAAAGAAGAATCAATTGGCAATTTTTCAGGGAACAATATAAATGGAATAGACAACGCAAGATAGGACAAAAGTAGAGAAAATAAGATAGCGGAAGGAGAATACAGAGATATTTTTGTTTGAAGTATCAAGCAAGAAAATGAGGAAAATCCAGCATGGGGGCTAGAAAGTAAGCAAAGTGAGATAAAGACTTTTTTTACCACATACTTCAAAGAGTACAGGTAAAGGAAAAGTGCCAGAAGGAGGTATTCAAAACTGTGGGGAAGGAGTGCTCTTACTCAGGGTACTAGATCTTAAGTAATTATGCCCTAAGTGGTCAGCTTACCCTCTTTGTAATAAACAAGGTGAAGCAGGGTAACAGGTGAAACAAAGAAATAGGCTTGCTCATTCATTTAGTAAATATTTACTTGGCACTGTTATTTGCCAAATACTAAGTTAGACATTAGGAATAGGAAGATGAATTAAAATTAACTTGATTTTCTCCTGCATTGTGTTTACTATCTAGTGGATGATACACATAAAAAAGCAACAAACATATTACAAGAGTTCTGAAACAGATCAAAATAAGCTGTGACAATAAAAAATAGGTGGATCTAATTTACTTTACAGTAAATGGTGCCACTCTTGATCAGATCTGAAAGAGGAGGAGTCAGCATATTAAAACTGTGTGGGAAACAGTACAGGTAGTGGCCCCAAGGTGAGGAAGCTCCAGGGCAAATCTGAGGAATGAAAGAAATAGGAGCAAAGGAAATGGGGAGACTGGATAAGGTTGCATTTTTTCCAAAGTACATTAGGAAACCATATGAGGACTTTTTAAAGTGATGAATCAAAACAGTATCCCATTTCTACTACATACGTACATATCTTTATATTTTAAAGGCTATTCTGGCAGTTATGTGACCATTGGGTAGGGGTGTGGGGGGTTGAGGCGTGGAGAGATGGATCAAAGTAGTCTACTGCCATAAGTAATGTAGGCTTCGACCAAAGCTGTGATGGGAAGATAAAAACAAAGGTGGATTTCCTGATATATTTTGGAGGCAAATATCCAGTATTTGGATATAGTTTAGGAGAGAGATAGGTACTGCAGATGACTACTAGGTTTCTGGCTTAAGCAACTGAGTACCTATCTACTGGTGGTGTCATTTGCTGAGATGAGCAGACAAAAATAGGTTGCTGCAAAAGGATTTTTGTTCTTTTTTGGCAGATGAAGAGAGATGCAAAATTTAGATTTTGGCATGTTAAGTTTGAGACAGTGAGTGGGTACACAAGTGGAAATATCAAATAGTCAGGTGGATATATACACAGTTGCAGTTAAGAGGTATGAGGCCACATATCAAAAAGACCAGAAACAATAAGGATTGGTAAGACAGTAGAGAAAAATGAACCCTCATTCACTCTTGGTGGGAATATAGATTGGTCCAGCCCCTGTGGAGATTTCTCAAAATCTAATTTATGACCCAGTAATTCTCCTGTGGGTTCCTATAAGCTGGTTACTAGCCAGCCACTCATGGACTCACCCAGCCACTCATGTGACCTATTTGCTATCTACAAATCACAGCAGAACATTTCTTAACTACGAGTATTGCTGGTATCACAAGGCAGGCCTGGGACTACATAGGCCACTGTTGACCTGATTATGCGATTATCTCCACAGTGGTCTCAGGATAACTCTGCCTGTGATAACATCAAATACTCTGCTGATGCAAATGTCTCTTAACATATGGTCATGATGTTCCCTTTTCTGTTCCTTGTTAAATTTTGTCCCCTATTCCAATCCCACCCTTCAGGCCTTATTCCTCATACCATTGTTGGATGATCAGCTTTTACCAGCCTGAATGCTTTCAATAAATGGCATAAGAACTTCCGCTCAAGTAGCAGAGTCTTGCCTTGCAAACCAGTCCACGACTACTGTGTCCCTTTATCACACTCCCACCACAAAGTGCCAAAAAATTCTCCTTAGTACCTAGCTGAGAATATGAAAAATACTAATTCGAAGGGAAAAAATACTAATTCGAAGGGATATATGTACTCCTAGAATAGTTACAACACTACTTACAGTAGTCAAGCTAAGGAAAAACCAGTCCAATAACAGGTAAGTGGATTAACGGAATACTACACAACGGGATACTACTCAGCTATATATATATAAAAAAAGAAATATTATTTTTGAAAGTCTAGATGGAACTGGAAGGGATTATGTTACATGAAATAAGTCAGAAGGAGAAAGACCAATACGGGGTGATTTCACTCATGTGTATCATACAAAGAAACAAAACAAAGGAACAGACAAAACTCAACCACCAAAAACAAACACTTGAAGTCAGACTGCAGAACTGAGGTTACAAAGAAGGGGAAGATGGGGCCCAATAAGCTATAGTGGAGGATTACTGGTAGCATGGTGTGATAATATGTATCTGTTATCATCATATTGGTGTGAAAAGTATCCCTAAAACATACAGTGTTGTAAACCAAGATTACGGCAATAAAAATAATTTAATTCTAAAAAAAGAAGAAAAAAGAATGCAGTTAGACAGCTTACTATTTAAAGTCATGTGAAAATACATGATACTACCCGGGAAAAAAAAAGAGAAAGGAAAGTCAAGAACAAGCAATGAGGAGCAACATTTAGAGGTCAGACAGAAGAGTTGACAAAGGGTACTGAAAATGAAAGGCCAAATAAGGCAGGAAGAAAACAAGAAGTGGCAATACAGAAATCAAAAGGTAAATAGTGCAAAAGATAATCAACTATGCTAACTGCTGCCCAGAATCCACAGAACAGAAAGAGGAACTGGCTAAAAGAGGAACTGGCTAAGTGCAAGTCACAGCCGAATCTCCCTAAAGTAGTTTCAACTCAGTACAAATTGAGAGCATCATATTGTGTGTACAGTGAAAGGAGGTGTGGAAGTGAAAATAGCATGTGCAGATAATTTCTGAGAAGTCTGGTGTGACAGGGAGCAAAGAAATAATGGAATAGCTAGGAGGATGGCAGTACAGAGAGGGTAAGGGATTCTAAATCATGTCTGTATGTTAACAGGAATGATATAGTAGAGGCTGAGAAGAAAGACATACCAGGTGATTCTGTTGTAGATGATTCTGTTGTTCAGAACAGAATATAAGATGTGGCTATCAACAGCTAGGGAGATATAAAAGTTTGTCACATTATAAAAAAAAATCTGGATGTTGGAAGTCAAAGTCCATGATATGACAGGAAGATTAGAAAAAGAGAATAGGAATTCAAGCTGAGCTCCAAGGAAAATCCACTCTAAACATTAATTAGATTTAACCACTCATTCCTAGAAAGTGCTAGCAAAACAGAAACACCTGACTAAAGATGTAATTCATGGAAAATCTCATCATCTCTGCATCTACTAAAAAAGCTCAAAAATTATACAGTCAGTTCAATCAGAGTATTTTTAAATTGCCTACCCAGCCACGGTTAGACACTGAAGTTCAGCTGCAATTCTTATAGGATGACTTGTTGGAATTAAGTGTTTTAGAGCAATTTTTTCTTCAGCCCCTACTTGTAATTGTGCTGTGGCCAAATATACAGAGCTGAAAGTACCTGTAAAACAATTTATTTTTCAACATTTTTTTTAATAAGGAAAAAGAGATGAAGATTTGCTTCTTTTATTTACTACTGAATTATAGTCTCAAATCATCTCATCTTCTATTAGTGATAAAACTATGCCTTAAATATTTTTAAATAAGAATAATGAAAATCAAGGTTATACAAGAAAAATAGAAGACAAAAGCTTAATAAACATAATAAAGCAGATCCCCAAATTACCTTCTCCAATTTTATCTTTAATCTTAAACACATTGCCAAGCTGTGGTACAGCTTCATAAAGCTTCTCAATATCTTTTGTAATGCCTATAAAGGAAATAAGAATCACAGTTATAATTAATGAGTATATTTTATACTTTAAGTTAAAACCTCAATGAAATAAATTCTAAAACATGAGCAGTTGGATTAAAAATAAGAATAGCTGTAATAAAATCAAGTGGGTATAACTCATAGATATCTCCACCTAAGTCAGGAATCATACCCACCAAATTTCTATTGTTTAGAAATACATACTGATAGATACACTGACACGACACAAAACAAAGCTAAATTTAAAAAAATAACAACTTATACTAGATGGCATGACAAGGACACACTGCAATCTTGAAAATTGTTTTCTTTCCCTGAAGACACAAAATCTTACGGGCCTGGAAAAGTTTTATGTATTGAATATTCAAACTACACTCAAAGTACAAAGACTTAGTAAAGGTTTCAGGAATTACGATATAAAATATTTGTAAATAGTTGTCCCAACTACTAATAGAATCCTTTATCCTTGTCATCAAATAAATTGCTGCTTTTAAACAAATAGAAACTCTTTAGGAAAACAAAGATAGTTAAGAGGTCATACTATAAAAATGCAATGAACTATTGTATACAAAAAAGAACTATATACTTAAAGAGTCATCAGATTGTAATACAATAATCTAGGCCAAGCATCAGCTACCTTAAGTTATATTACTTTGTATAGTATTGAAGTTTTTTAAGACATTTTCAAAGCACTTTCACATGTATTCATTAAAATTTCACAGTGGCACACTGACAATGACAGAGATTGTATCCTTTAATTTTTCAGATAAGGGAGTCTTATTCAATTGAAACAATCTGCCCAATTTCAGAGAGATTACTCATACTTTCTTAACAATATTTTTTTAATTTAAATATTTTTTTAAATTTTTAAAAAGAACAAATTTGGTGAAATCCCTATTCTCTAGATTAATCTGATAGAAAAGGCAAATGTTAAAAGCTTTCTCTTAATACAAAATGATACTTGTTAATAATATTATAAAGTAGAAAGATAGGAAAAGGCAATGAATACCTCTGAAGGCACTGAAAAAGTTTCAGGTGGAATATTCGGGGTGGAAAAAAGTGATTTCAGAAAGGAACTGTATGCAAAGACACAGAAAAGGAAGGCCTAGATTATGGGAGAGAGGGTAGAGGAGATAATGAAATTCAATGTGACTGAGGAAGGAAAGGTAAAGAAGGAAAGTTAAAAACCACAAAGTTTATAAGCAGGGAGATGACAAGTGGAAGAAGAATTTTATCTTCTCTTTGCTTCAAATACTCTCATGATTTCATGTGACTGGCTCAACTGTCATGTCTTCTTTGACATTTTCTTTCAAGAAGTACTCTCCCTGGTACTTTGCCTTATTTATTATCTTTGGGGTACTTATTCAGAATGACATTTCCTGTCTATTTATTCACTGTTTCCTCCCACTAGAATATACATTACACCAATATATGTTGTTTGTCTGTGTAACTCACTGTATCTTGAGCTCCCAGTTAGAGCAGTGCCTCACATGTTTGTCAGATAAATGAATTGTTACTATCCTGGGTACTCAGAGAGATTGGTGAAATCTGGAATAAAATTTACCCACTATTTATTTGCCAGTATTTTTTCTTCAGAAGAGTATTAGAATGGTAGCTTTCACTTCAATATGAATCTAAAACAAAGCCAGATTCATTCATTCATACACTCGGGCAAATGTACAACACATATAAAGGAGATACTGCCTTCAGGGAGTTTATGTGCATCTGAAGAGACAAAATACAGAGTTAAAGCATTCAAGAATGCAATGACTGGGTTTTTGTATTATATCCATTGACTAATAAAGGAAAACTGAACTGTGAAAGCAGGCAATTACAAGAAAAAAGGAAGGGAAGAAGGACAGCATTTATGAAACTGGCTGAAAGTGACATGGTAGGTTATTACAATAGCACAAGATAAACTGGAGGATGGAAAAGAAGTGGAAGTAGAGAGTTTGAGTAAAAACACATCACTGTAGGGCCCTCCCTGGTGGCGCAGCGGGTTAAAACACAGCACTGAGAGGCTAAAGCCTGAGTTTGATCCCTGCCTGCCCCGGAGGTGATCCACATGGCAGAAGACCTCTCCAGACCCGCCCACTGCTCCCCTCAGCAGTGTACTTAGTTGATTGCCAATTCTGCTCCCCACTCTGTCTCTGGTGAATTCTCTCACCACACCTTCAAGTCCGGCCTGTACCCCAGTTTTGTATGCATAAATAAGTTTAAAAAAAATCATTGTAATTCAGGAGTAAAGTGTAAGGGAATAAATTCATGTGGTAGGGATGGGAGAAGAGGGAATGTCATGCATATTAAATATTAAGATAAAGTTAATAACTGGATATGGGTGTGAATATAAGTATAAGTCAAAGGCAACTCCAAAGTTATAAGCACAGATAAATGGCATAATACTGACCAAAAATAGGGACACCAGGAAAAACACTCATTTTGACACCAAAGATGAATTCAGCTTTAGTTAGAAAGCAGAAGCATATTCCATCATATTTTCTTACGTCTATTTTGGAGTACTGTTAAATACAGTATCATCAGCAATGTAAAGTCAAAAATCAGGATCTTGTGGGAAAAAAATAAATACATTAAAGGATGGGGGAAAAAAAGGTCATCTGACATTCTGACAAATATTTATCAAATGACTATGATGTCCCAAGCACCATGCTAGAGCAGGCATAAAGGTGGATGTTTTGGTGTGTATGATCAGGTATTGTCTGACCCTCTCCTCCTCACTTCAAGGTGAGGTCAGTGTCACAAAACACTTCATGGTGTACTCGAGATCCAGTGCTTTTTATTGCAAAAAAAAAAATTTCATTAGTGAATTCTACTTTTGTATACCTGAATAAAAATCCCTCCATCGAGGATTTCTCAGTCCCAGCGTAATGCAATATGATGAGCAGAGAGAAATCATAAGTCAAGGAAAATAGAAATTCTAGTCTGGGTATCAACTAACTGTGTTCTTTAGGCAATCCCTAATACATAGACCTTTGCATCTTCATCGGTAAAAAATGACATGTTTGGACTGTAATTCTCCTTTTTAAATGCAATCCAATCCTAAATCTAGATCTTACTAAGTTTTACTGATGTGTAAAATGTTTCTATACAAGCATACAACTCACCTTTGAAGTTCAGGAAGTGTTTTTTTTTTGTTTTAAATAGCTGCAAACACAGAATTTAAAACCGTACGTTTTTAGAATTAAACACATACCTGGTAGTTTAAAATTCTGCTCATATTTTTTCAACGAGCTATCCCCCTGAAACCGGTCACACAGGGGAGAACAAGCCATTGGTTCATCCATCTGAGTCCCCAAAAGCAACCTCTATCCCAAAACTGGGATGTGAAGCACCAGCTAAGGGGTCATGTCCACAGTAGGGGGGTGGGGGAGGGGGCAAAGCGGCTGAGAAATTCAGGATCCTGGAGATGAAACGGTTAAATCACTCACTGAACCAAGCACTAAGACATCATGCCCCACCCCGCGCCCCCCGCCACGGGCAAACACGTAAAACAGCACCCCACTTCCAAATCCCCAGGACAGTGGGCCTTTTCGAAGGGTTCCATTTACCTCACTTTCACCTTACAGAAACTGCGGCAGGGGGCTTGATGGGGGAACTTCCGTGCCCGGCAGCACTGGAAGTGGGGCGTGGCTGGGGGGGGTTGCTGAAACAGCGTGTCCCCGCCGCTCTGCTCGCGCAGGTGTGTGCGTGGGGGCCCGGGATGGAGGCCTCGGTGGGGAAGCGGTTTGACCGGAGGGCTGCTGGAGGAAATCGTTTGATTACTGCTACAGAGCGGCAGGAGACTCGTCCGGGGTCCCAAGCAAGTTGGTAGAGAACTGATACGACAGTGGCCACGAGAGCCCAGAAGAGGATGAGGTGGAATGAATGGGATCCTTCAGGGAGCGCCGGCCGCGAGCCCGGCGAGGACCTTCCTCCCTCAGACTCTAGAGAATGCTTAATGCGCACGCGCGCGACTTTCCCGCCGCAGGTCAGCGGAGGCGGGGAGGGGGCCCACTGCGCGGCGACAAGACCGAAGTCGCGATCCAGAATTCACTTCTAATCCCTCATAATCCCACACCATGAACAAACCGTCCGAAACTCACGGTTTAAAGGAATACGACCTCTCTGGCTGCCCAGACGTCTGGGCCCCCGCCTCCAAGAGTTCCCCAACTAGCGAGTCAGCCAAAAGCGCCTGCGCGGCACTTCCCGCCTCGCCGCTTCTGCTTGCACATGCGCACTGGGAATCCTGGGCTCTGCGGAGTAACTACCCGGCGCTTGCGCAGGGGAGCGGTGTTTCTGCTGCGTTGTGGTAGATGTGTACCAGAGCAGCTAGGGAAATAAAATCCGAGGGTAACCTTATACGGTTTAAAATTTTAAAAGAGGATGAATTTTGAGATTAAGGAGCCAACACTATCATAGGGAAGTAGATAATGCTGAAATTGAAGAGCTTCGCACAGCTTGGCGCTACCTGACTGTGACCACCAGAGACGGGCGCTCTTGATAAAAGACACTTTCTGGGGTCCCTGCTTTTACTTCCTTTGTGTTGAATGCTCGTCTCCTTTACAAGAACAAAAACACAACTGCTGGAAGTTTGTGGTTGCATTCACAGCAACAAAGGCAGTGGTATTCAATTAGTATGTATTTTGAGCCCTTGGTTATGAGGTTGGCAGTTTCCTGGGGTTGGGGTTCCAGCAGTGAACAAGGACAAAGGCCATCCCTTTATGAAATTAAGTTCCAGAAAAGTGGTGATCATAATCGAATAAGCAGCAGTGTTTCAGATGTTGATCAGAGCTCCAAAGGAAGGATGTGATAGAGGCTTAAGAAAAGAATGGCTTAATGGAAAGGTCAGTAAAGACCCATCTGAGGAGATCTGGATGATGAGAAGGAGTTTTACCAATTACAATTTTAGCCTCAGTCCAATAGCTAATACTCAATCCTTCTAGATAAACACATAAACAAACTTATTGAGGAACACTTGTGTCCCTAGTGGTCTTTGGAGGTAATTGACAATAATTGAATCCAAAACATCCAAAAGAAAATGTCAAATAAGTGGCCAGATGAATATAATGGCTTGAAATGGAGTTTAGGCTGAAGACAAATTTGGCAGTTAATCAATTTATATATGAAACTTAAACCTTGGGGCCAGATGAGATTATCTTTTGTTTTAACTGAACAGAAATTTTAAATAGAGAACATTATCTGGGAACGTTATTAAGGCTTAGCAGGAGAGCTACTGACCTGCTGTTGGCAATGAGTTTGTCAGTCTGTGCAGCTGCAAAGGTTATCTTGCCTATTGGTCTCTCTTTTTTCTTTTTTTATTGGGGACACATTAGAACAATATTATTAGTGGGGATCAAACTACTTGGGTCTTACATTTCAATGCCAAGTGATTATATACAACTTATTTGGGAAAAGCAAACGTCCAGCAACTGGAGACCCCAAGGACAGTGTAAATTTAAATTGGGCGCAACCTCTCACTCTGGAAAAAGGGGGTGGGGAATTCCTGCTTACAGTCAACTCAGAGTAAGTTCCAGAACAACTTTCAAACAGTTCTGTTTTTCTCTATATGGAAGTATCTACTTGCAGTTTAAAAGAAAAGAGAGAAAGAGAAAGTCAGAAAGCAGGAGGAAAGGAAGAGAGGGAAAGAGGAAGGAAGGAAATAATGCCTGTGTACAAAAAGGAAAAGTTATTAAAGGTCTTATTCTCTCCCCCACTTTTTATTTTTGCCTCCACTATTAAGCTGAGGCACTCTCTTACAGAAACTCCTCAATGATAGACATCCTAGAATAAAGATAAAACAAATACATAGCTACATAGCTTTTGAATATGAACTGAAATTTTCTTTTAGAGCAATTGCTACAAGCTGAATGTTTATGTCCCTTATAAATATTCCTGTAGATGTTCAAGCCTAATTCCCAATATGATGGTACTAGGAGTTGGGGCCTTTAGGAGATGAGTAAGTCATGGGGGTAGAGTCCTCAAATGGAATTTTTGCCCTTATAAAAAAAAGCTTCAAAGAGTTCTCTTGCCTTCTACACATAGATAGAAGATGCTATCAGTGAACTAGGAAATTGTGTTCTCACAAAACACTCATCTGTCTGGGCCATGATCTTGGGCTTCCTAGCCTCCAGAATTATGAGAAATAAATGTTTGTTATTTAAGTCACCCAGCCTATGGTATTTTTTCACAGTATGATGGGTGGACAAGAAAGTCAATAAAAGGCAAGGGACTAGGGAGCCCCTGGTTGCACAGGGGTTAAAGTCAGTACTATGAAGATACCAACAGCCACTATAACATGAGTTCCATCCCCAGCCAGGGAGGTGACACACATGGCACAGCAGACCTCTCCTGTCTTTCCCACTGCTCCCCGCAACTGTGTATTTCCACAGATCTGCCTGTTCTGCTCCCTACTCTGTTGCTGGTGAATCCTCCCACCCCCAACCCCCACACCTCTTGCCTATACCCCACTTCTTCTATGCATAAATAAAAATAAATCTAAAAAAAAAGATAAGGGATTGATAGCAAAGATCTACACAAAGAGCTTATACAACTCAACAAAAACAAAGCAAACAGTCCAGTGTGGGGAAAAATGGGCAGAAGAGCTGAAAAGGCAGTTTTCCAAAACAAGAAATACAAATGGCCAACAAGCACATGGAAAAAAAATAAAGAATATGTTCAACATCACTTATTATTAGGGAACTGCAAATCAAAACCACAATGAAATAGCATCTTACACTGGTGAGAATGGCCCCTATCAAAAACTAGAAACAACAAATGCTGGTGAGGATGTGGGAGAGAAGGAACACTCTTACACTGAGCATAAATATCTCAAGGCCCTGTTTTCAATTCTTTTGAGTATATTTCTAGAAGTGGAATTGCTGGATCGGTTAAATATATTTTTAATTTTCTGAGGAACTATTCTACAGTTTCTCATAGCAATTGTACCATTTTACATTCCTAGCATCAGGGTACAGATATCATCATATCTTTACCAACACCTGTATAGTCTGTATTTTTTAAAGTAATAACCATAATGGCTGTGAAGTATATCTTGTTGTGATTTTGATTTGCATTTCCCTAATGATTGGTGATGGTGAGCATCTTTTCAAGTGCTCATTGACATATCTTAGAAGTGCTTAGTGCATTTTTTTTTTAAAGATTCATTTATTCATACAGAACTGGGGTACAGGCCAGAGATGCGGAGGGTGAGAGAATTCACCAGAGACAGAGTGGGGAGCAGAACAGGCAGATCATCAAAGTACACTGCTGAGGGGAGCAGTGGGCGGGTCAGGAGAGGTCTGCCACGCCATGTGGTCACCTCCGGGGCAGGCGGGAATCGAACTCATGCGGAAGTGGCTTTAGCTTCTCAGTGCAGTGCTTTAACCCGCTGCGCCACCAGGGAGGGCCCGCTTAGTGCATTTTTAATTGGTTTTGTTGTTGAGTTTTAGGAGTCCTCTCTATATATGGGATATTAATGCCTTATCAGATATGTAATTTGCAAATATTTTCTACTCTTCTGTGGATTGTTGATGGTGTCATTTGGTGCACAACTGGTTTTCATTTTTACAAAATCAACTTTGTTTTTCTTTTGTTGACTTTTATGTGACACTCAGTAAATGATTAAGTCTAAAACTGGGAAACTTCTGCCTTTCACTTTCTTCTAAGAATTATATAGTTTTAGTCTACATGGTCAGGTCTTTGATCCATTTTGAATTAATTTTTGTATATAGTGGTAACCAAGGGCCCAACTTCATTCTCTGGCATGCAGGTATCCAGTTTTTCCAGTAGACCTAACTATATATATTTTTAAAGGTTTGTTCAAAATTGCTTGCAAACAAAAAACTCAGGTTAAGTTAAATGTGAAATTCAATTTGAATATATAAGAAATTGCATGCTCTATTATTGGAAAGAAGTTTAACGACCTTTGTTCTGCTGTTTTGTAGCATAGGTTAAAGATACAAATCGCTTAGGTAAATACAATGAAAAAAGGGAAGTCAAGCTGTTTAGCATAATAATTTTCTATCTTTTGATTCCTCTATCTGTTCATTTATCTATTTTGTGTTACCTGTAGGTAGTTGTTGGTCAGTTTCAAAATTAATAATATGAAGAATGGGAATATCTGTAAAAAATACCTGAAAATCTACCAAGGGAGAAAACATACTTATGGGATGAAATAAAGCTACTATACTAGCAGGTAATAATGGTATACAAATAAAACAACATATTTTCCCCAAAAACAGATTTCATGCACTCTGGAGAAAATCCTATTACTACAAAAATTCAGAAAAAAAAATGTATTAAAAAATGGAAATGCAAATTTATTAAGAACATTGATTTTCTTTACATTCATTGAGCTCCAAGATAAAAACACTTTTGGGATCAGAGGTCAGGAGCAAGTACTGTGATATGTCAAGTTCCATCTCCAGGGTCTAGAACTTGCTAGCATCTGGTAACACTCTGAAATGGACCAACAACATCAGTTCAGTCATTACAAGGAAAATACCCACTACAATGAAATCAGAATGGCTTGACTTCCATTTAATTGTTAACTTTAAAAATGATTTAAGTTTTTGAAAAAATCCCTAGAAATTCCAAGTTCAGGACTTTTGTTTTGGTGTCCTTTGGTTGGAAAAGGAATATGCTTGAGAGTAAATTTTAAAAAATGATGTCTCAGTACTGTACAAAATACTTTTCAGTTCTGTTATGTTTTTAAATTCCAGAACAATATTGTAATTAGTAATATTGTAATTATTGTAATTAACTTTTATTTAAAAAACTCAAAGATGTGAATGTCCGTTATTTAAGACAATTTATTGAAATACAGTTTAACAAAGTAGTATTAACTTCGGCTTCAGTGCTAGTAATTTTTCAAATTTAGAACAATTGTCTTTTCTGTTCTA